CTCGCCCCAGTCAACTATTCACAGCACCAACTCTGACGTTCCACTTGAAATTGTGGAAAACGGCAATTAAAACTACGGAAGCAATCGTAAGACACAAACGATCAGGGAAAGTAACTTTGCGACCAAACTTAAACGGTTCAAAGTCGCACTTACGGCTTGTGGTGTTGCGAAAGGTTGAGTCGATGACGTCACTGTTTCACAGTTTGCCATTCGAATAAAACAGGCAGGAAAATTATCAGCAGCCGATAATGTTATGGCGCATAGCAAACAACCTCGGGAGGTCGATGAGAGTCACGAGTGAAGGACTGATGCAGGCATGTCGATGTGAAGTAACGTAGTTTTGCGTAGAGGCTGAATTCTGAAAATCCAGGAACCTCTATAACACAAAACCAAGGTGTGATGGCTTTGGCTACGAAAACAAACAGAACGAATTAGGACAGTTCGATCATCGATCGCTTTGCGCACTAAAAACAAAACAACACCGATGTAAAGTAGTAACAATTTATTCATAACATCAAAGGAGTAGTGCACACCCGTTAGAACGAGAACAACGAATATCGTAATGGCCACAAGAAAGCAAGCGGCGGACCACTGTGTCTTTTTCATTTGCATCACTGAAGCGAATAGCCCCAACTAAAGGCGGTGCAAAGTGCGCCGACCGAATGAAACGTGTAAGCTGTGGAGCGAAGCGGCCACAGAATGAATGACCCGTGAGGTCGAGGTGGCTCGGTTCTCCGCCGTATGACTTGCAGCTTAACTTCGCGCTAAGCCGTAAGCCTGGCGTTCGTTCATCCGCCCGCCGATTGTTTACCCGTTCGCCGAAACCGAACACCGCCACTTGGCCATTGTCGCCGGATTAACGGGAGCTGCTTTGCACGGTACACAGCCTAATTGGCGCATTTCCATCAAGAACCAATCTGTTGCCACTCTCCGCCGTAGCACGGAGACGAGAAAATAATCGATGCCCAGCGGCTTTTCGAGTTCTTTTAATGAGTCGAATCGGACGGCATTAAAAACTATCAATGAATGCGGAACGCCAGCTTGCCGGAAAGACGTTGTTCAGCTATCATCGAGAACGGCACAT